AGTTAATAAATAATTAGGTATTATGGAATTTCTTAGCACGTCTGATGCATCATTTATCCTTCAAATCCAATTGGCTCTCGTGTCAAGAGGTGTCTTAGAGAAATATAAAATTATTCACCCATCAAGTCCAATAGCTTAAACTTTTGGATTGAATTGATTCTTTACATATTTCTTATAAATTTTATATTAACCTAAACTTATATATTATTGAGCGTGTCAGAGAAATATATATTTCTTATAAATTTCTCGTGTCAAGGGACGTGGTAGAGAAATATAAAATTATCTACCATTTAAGTCCAACAGCTTAAATTTTTGGAGTGAATTGATTCTTTACATATTTCTTATAAATTTTACATTAACCTAAAATTATATATTATTGAGCAGCTGAAATTTCCATAATGTAGTTATCATATAACAGCATTAAACCTGTAACTTTATTATTATTTTTTTAGGCATTTCAATTTATTTGCACTTGTAGCCGCTTATTGAAAGATGTTCTTATTTTTTGGATGAACCTATGGAAAGAACTCATAAGCTAGCTAATTATCATGCTAACCGTTTCAAAAGTTATAAATACGAATTCATGAAATTAAACTAATCACATTTACTTACAAGATATACTATTTGGAATGGATGGTTGTTAAATTTAATTTTTGAAACCATTTATCTTGAAAACAATTATCACATAAGAACTTATATTATTTTCTCTGTCTATTTTTTCTTTTCATCTGTTTCAAATGTAATTTTTTTTTAAACTCTCAATTTCATTTAAAGTTTTCGAGTTGGGTCATCACTCATAGTGAAAAAGTATCGTTGTGACATGCATGCAGCGTGAGAGTGAGCAACGAACTAGGAGCAAGAAATCCAAAATCAGCAGCATTTTCGGTGGTGGTGGTGACATTGATTTCTTTCATAATATCAGTGATCGCAGCATTGGTGGTGCTTGCATTAAGGGATGTCATTAGCTATGCCTTCACAGCGGGTGAAGAGGTAGCTGCTGCAGTCTCAGATCTTTCTCCATTGCTAGCTCTTTCTCTTGTCCTCAATGGCATTCAACCCGTCTTATCCGGTAATAATTCATTAGTTCATATTGCTCAAATTACCTTATATGTGACACTGATTATAAATATTTATTGTGTTTTTCAAGTTTCAACATTGTTAGGAATAAAGTAACATTATATACTTTTTTCTCATAATATAATGGGTTCATTTTTTCTGCAGTTAACGCAGATAGTTATCTGCAGTAAGCCCAATACGACGTCGTTTTAGGGCAGAAATCATAGTGTTTTTGTAATTTTAATTTATTTCAGAGTTATTATAGTCTTTATAATTATAATTTTTTAATTTTTCAAGGATTCGCTTTTTCTGCAGTTACTGCAGATAAGTTATCTGCTGTAAGTCCAATACGACATCGTTTTGGGGCGGAAATCATGGTATTTTTGTAATTTTAATTTATTTCAGGGTTATAGTAGTCTTTATATTTATAATTTTTTAAGATTTCAATACCAAAACGACGTCGTTTTGAGAATAAATGCAGATAACTTATCTGCATTAACTGCAGAAATATTTTTTTTCCATTTTTCATATAATATAAAACAATAAAAGCGTCATGCTTTATAAGTTTATTGAGTTGAATTAAGAGTAAATACCATTTTTGGTCCTTAACAAATTTTACGATGTCCGTTTTAATCCCTATCAAATAAAAACGCCCATCGTGGTCCCTAAGAAATTCAAAATGGACCTATTTAGTTGAAATCGTGGTCCCTCACAAATTCAAAAGACTCATATTAGTCCCTAAAAAGACTAAAATGGGTCCATTTTGAATTTCTTAGAGACTCGATGTGCCTTTTTATTTGCTAGGGACTAAAACGGGCATCGTGAAATTTGTTGAGGACCAAAAAGAGTATTTATTCTTGAATTAATTCATGAAACTTCGATCTCAAGTGAATATTATGTACGGACATGCACAATCTTTTTTGTTTTAGAAACTGATGCATGCATGCAATATATCGTATATGAATGAAGGGGTGGCTGTTGGATGTGGATGGCAAACTTTCGTTGCTTATGTAAACGTGGGTTGTTATTATGGAGTTGGCATACCATTGGGTTCGGTTCTCGGCTTTTATTTCAAATTTGGTGCTAAGGTATGTTTCTATATTGAGTTATTTTAGAATAGGTGTTTTGCATATATATGCTTTTGGATTTGCTATATAGTTTTAGCTATTTCTGAATGTGTACTTTAGCACACATTTTATTTTGTTTATATTAAAATTTGAAAGTGTATATGTTAATTATTACATATGTTTTTATATTTTATTTTTGAAAAAATATATATTTTATTAAAAAAAGAATACATAATATTGTTAGAATACCTAAAAGACTACTCTAAAATACAATCATAATAATATAATGAGATGTCCTCCAAATATTTTTAATATATATTTTTTACTGAAATTGGTTTCTTTGTGGTAGGGAATTTGGATTGGAATGCTGGGTGGCACAACTATGCAAACAGTTATTCTAATGTGGGTCACATTTAGAACGGATTGGACTAAGGAGGTAAAAAGACAATCTCTGCAATAATTTTATTTTTCATGATACTATGCTGGAAATGGACAAATTAATTTGTTAGCGTCTAATGAAAATTTTCTTGATTGTAGGTAGAGGAAGCAGCCAAGAGGTTGAACAAATGGGGGGAAAAGATTAAGGAGCCGCTTCTAAACTAAATTACTAAAGTATTGAGGATAAATAAAACAGTTTTTTAATTTTCAGAATAATTTTTTTTGTTTAATAATGTTTATTTTGTAAAAATAATTCTAAAAATTATATCTATCTTTAAATTTATAGAATCAAATTTAAATAATATATTCACTTATTTTTGTTTTGTATTTTTATTTTTAACTTTTAAAATAAAAATTTATAGAAAATAGTCATTTCATTGACTATTCTATAAAATAGTTTTAAGAAGAAAAAACACACACGATGAAACATACCCTGAATCACTTGTTTTTTTTTAAGTAGGGGATACATAGAGATGTATTAAACTTTGGGTAAATTGTGTGTCATTTTAAAGGATATAAAGTTGTGTTATTTTAAGTGAGAAAAATAGATAGATAAAAGAGGAGAGAAAGTGGACAAAAAAAATAATAAAAGTGTAGGTCTCACCTCTTTGTGAGAGTGAAAGAATGTAAGTTGTGTCATTTAAAGGGACAAACACTTTTCCCGTAAATATTTTTGTTTTTTAATCGAAGCCAATTATAAAGACTATTCTATCAACGAGGTGGTTATTATACTTATAGTTTAAGATCTGTCATGTTCCCTAGCAAGGCAATGAATTACACATTAAAACTACCTTTTTTTAATATATATGAGCAATGGATTGTTGGAAGTCGACAATAACACAGAATCAAGAAAACAGAAAAAGAGATAAGAGTAGAGAGATTGACACGATGATTTACCCTGGTTCACCTAATATAGGCTACGTCCAGCTTGTCTGTACTATATTCACCTCACCGCCACTCGTTACAAGTCTCTCGGTTTACAAGGCAAATATATATAGGATTACAATAACCCTAACAGCAGCTATTTATGGGCCCAAGCCCAAACTGCTAAGAAAATTACAATAGAAACAGAGGCCTAAACATTACCTAGCCTCTACGGGCCTGGGAGCGCTGCCCCCCCGACCCCCGCCGGGGCGGCTCCCCCGGACCCCCGCCCGCTCATCTGGGAGCGGGACCTCAGTTGCCTTTCTGCTGACCCCGACAATTAGGGCCAACATCATCATGTGAAGTATGAGACATACCCAACATGGATATTGGTGGGGGGCGGGGGGGTAATTTTTTAATTTAAAAGTAATGTGTCTGAAATATTTAAAATTATTTTAAAAAATCAGTTTTAGTGTTTTTTTCATAGAGTAAAAGGAGTGGCTTATATTAAAAAAAGGTTTGAAAAAATTTATTAGAAATATTTTTTTAAAAATTTAAGACTCATACGTAATTCTCTTAAAACCGTAGCCTCTATAGCGTGCGCGCACACACAAACATCTCCTATCTGTTTATTATTTATACACAGTAATTTGTCATCACTCCATCACTTGTGATTGTCCCCCATAAACACCACTAATCACAAATCCCATATTAACTATGATCATTGAACAAATCAACTTTGATAGGTAATCTTATATGTACTGTCCCATTAAACTCTTAAAAAGATTTTACAACATATTAACGGGTTTGAGCTAGTCTCATACCCGGGCCGCATTGATTCTCTAGCTGAACAGGTTATGTTATAAAAACCAGCAAATTAATGGATCAGTTCAAGCCCACATTGATTCGTTCGTATACGGGCTGGTACTCATGTTTTGACACATTTTAGAAATTAGCTTAAGTCGCAAAGTGACAATGTCTAAATACTATGGTTGTCAGAATTGGAACAGTCAGATCGGAAAAATTGAGAATCAGTCATTTAACTGTTAAATTGATCATATGATAAAAAATAAAAATTTAATCTTAAATCGGTCAACCCGTGTGAATTACTAATTGTTTAACCGATTGAATCTGTCATTTAAAAAGGAATTTCAAAACTTTGTTTTTATAGGAATCTGTATTCACATATATCAAGCTTTGCTATTTCAAGCTATTTCACGCATATCTCATTTTTTGTAAATGCCATTTCAAGCTAGAGTAAAATACCTTTTGAGTCCTCAATAAATATCATAGAACTCAATTTAATCTTTTAAAATAAGAATTGACTCGTGATTCCTCTGAAATTCAAAATAGACCCATGTTAATGCTTTTGAAAACGTGGGTTTTCTTTGAATTTCAGAGGGATCACAATTTTGACTAGTTGAATTTCAAATGGATCACAAGTATACTTTTTTTTCCTAAAGGACTAAAATGGGTCTCGTGATTTTTGTTGAGGACCCAAAAGATACTTTACTCTTCAAGCTATTAAAATTTTGAGTAAATACTTTTTTTGGTCCTCAACAAAAAACACAAAATCCATTTTAATCTAGTAGAAAAAAAATACCCATATTAGTACTTTTTGAGGGATTAAAAAGGGTTTTATCTGAATTTCAAAAGGACCACAATTTCAAAGAACTGGAATTTCAAAGGGACACAAGTTGACTTTTTTTTCCTTAAGGATCAAATCGGCCTCGTATTTTATCTTGAGGACAAAAAATGATATTTACTCTAAAAGAATTTTAGATGCTATTTCAAGTTATTCACATAGCAAATCCTACAATAGTAGAGATGGCTCACCAACTATTCACATATGTCAAGCTTTACTATTTCAAATGATTTTTTTTTTTTTTTTTTGTGTGTCTGCACTTGCACACATTAGCAACCATATAGGTTCGCCCGTGGTACTACTAATTGCAGGTTAGAATTATGCGGCTACATACACTTTGTTAGGGGTAACAATTTTCAACTTGATCCATTGACTCAATTCGAACACAATACAAAAAATTCGAATTCGAGTTGATCTATTTTCAAATTTGTGTTAGGTTTGTGTTGACAAAAACTGACGTAAAAAAAATAGTGTCATTTTGCATGTCAATCCGCAAATACAAAATTGACCTGCATTAATTTATTTACGGGTTATTCATGTCATGTCGCGTCAATAAGACATTGGTGAAAGCAACATTCTGTATAGATAATATTTAATAAGCGACACACCACTCTGATATTGGCAGATTAATCACGTCATGTTGTATCAACCTATAAAATAAATGGATTGTATTCGTATAAAAAGTTTTAACTGATTTTTGAATTCATATCGTAATTCTATCAAATTCGTTTCGTATCCTATGAACCCAAAATTTCACCTTTACACATTACCTTCAAAATTCCGATATAATGTATTTTCGCCTTAATAATCAGATTCCAGTAAGTGTCCATCATGAATATTTAATCTAAGGACCCACGGGAAAAGGTTTAAAAACAACAGAGAAAGGTGAAAAAGAAAAAAGAACAATCCTAGCGACCAATCTTTTTCCCCCTTTTGGAAAAGACAGCAACAATTAATTTATAAAATAGTAAAAGGAAATCTTTTAATTAAGTTCTATTGTTACGAAGGATACTTACATTTTTTTATACTGCGTGACTACTTTTCTTAATAATAAAACTAGTAGCAATCTAAGTACGTAGTTAAAGTTAATGAACCAAGTACAACTTTTGAGCCAACTAACTATCCTTTTTCTCATTCAGAATATGTTCCCCCTTCAAAGTCCTGTGTGCCAAATCGTTCTGCATCTACTTTTGGCTTTGGGGGTGTTACACTTTCTATTTAATTATTGTTAATTAATGTTTGTTAATTAATCTCCATTAATCTCACCTCCAAACCAATATAAGAATCCAAGAGAATAATAGATGACAAAATCTTTACATTTTTTTTTTTTGTAATGAAAACTTTACATTTTTAACATGATATATGGTATCATTTCTCAGAATTTATACGCTAGAGTGATTCGTCCATGGTATGCCAACTTACCTCTATATATTGAATAAAGACCCCACTTTTGTAACGATGTTTAAAATACACGTTTATGTACTACAAAAAACAAAAGAGGAAGAAGAAGAAGAAGAAAAGGCTCGTTTGTGTCATGCCGACATTCTTTAAAAGATAAAGTTGGATGAAACTATGTTAAAAATGACAGTTCATTATTCAGGACATGCTCTCCCATACGAGTATAGAGTATCATTGCTCAACTAGTCAATTCTGAGTTTCTTAAAATTTATGGCACAAAGACCCAACTGCGATGATTGTATCCTTTCGTGTTGAATACAACATGATATGATTATGTAAAAAAATTATAAGCATATAAAAATAAATAGATGGTGATTAAGGAAAAAAAAAAAAAGTAAAATAAATAATTATAAAATTATTATCATTAGTTAATCTGTATACGATTGTAATTTTTTATATGACCATGTTACAATTTATTTAATATGTCATATTTTGGAAGATTTGGTCCACTGATGCTGACGCTGTCATCAAGACTTTTTACACCTGCCACGTGTTCCATTCATGTATTAATTAATCTTGCTGGTGAGAAAAGTGAAATTTAATTCGGTAAATTAATAACAAAAAAATAAAGTATAGCATATTGAAATATATTTTCCCATTGGTTTAACTTTTCTTTGCGCACCTTTTTCATTTGATCCAATCCAAATCTACTTATTAAGAGATATGTTCATATAATATAGAATATTTTCACTTGATCCAATCCAAACCCACTTTTCTTTATTTCGTTTCACATGTAAGTTACTTTCTGTTTTTTTTTTTTTGATAACATTAAGGGGCGAAGCCCCAAACAAAAACAAACAAACAACCAGAAACAAAAAATAACTATTCAGGGTCTATATCCCTACAAGAGGAGATTCCCTGAAGATCGTGATCAAATAACTGAGCAAGGTGAAACGACATAACTCTATGACTCCAGAATCCAGTATATTTGTGAAGAGCAGACTTGGCTAACCAATCAGCACAGGAATTAGCTTCTCTTGGAATATGAGAAAGCGTTACCTCCCAATTCTGACCGATGAGTGCTTGTATCTTAGCCACTATACGAGGCTGACAAGCTGCATTGCAATCAGCAAGCAAAGAGAATACTTCAGAAGCATCTCCTTCTAGTTCCACCTTCTTAAATCCCAGTTGCCAAACCAATTCCAGACCTTTTAGAGTTCCCCAAAGCTCCGCCATTAAAGGAGTGCAAGCACCAATATGATACTCAAAGCCTCCCAACCAAGAGCCATCATCAGATCTGATAATCCCACCACAAGCAGCCACCTCAGTATTCCTTTCAACTGCCCCATCAATATTAATCTTCACCCAATTTAG